GGAAGGTAAACACGCATGTAAAGGTGTATATATATCCGACTGATATTCGATTGTTGATTTATTGGGATTGAAATTTGATTTGCTGATTTTTTGGGAGTGATAGAGTTTAACATTTATTTTCTGCCATATTTGTTGCAGAATTATATGGTATAATTAAAAATTCAAATTTCAAATATCTTGATTTCCTGATTAAAATATTTAACCGATTTAGAAAAGATTTTTTCAAAATTTTCGACTTTCAAGTGATTAATAACATGAAGGGCAATTCTGGAATTTCAGTTAGATCAAATGAGCGGGAAAAACCAAGACGGATGGACTAAGGTGGTGCCATGTGTCATCTAATGTACTGTTTTATTAGAAGAGAAGATTTCTTATATTTTTTTGACTTTTAGTATGTGACTCCATAGTTTGACATGTAATCAGTAGTACATTAATTTGTTTATATATTGGTCATTATTTCCAATAGTCTCTTAGTTATATAAGAGAAAAGCAAAAAGTTGTACAAATAGTGTTGATCTCCTAGGAACATGTCTTTGTCGTATGAGTATTCGTTCCACAAAGCCAAAATTAACTCGTAATATGGGTGATTGTGTCGTCATCTTTTAAAATCCCTTTGTTATAACATCACTGAACATGTGGCATGGAATTTAATCATTTTATATATAATTAAATCACAACAATCTTATGAACAGTACCTTACACTTGGTACTGTTCATCAGGTTAGTTGCCACTACCAAGGTTATTTGCCACTGCTTCTCACCGACTCTGCTTTCTTTGCCGTTCCTTTCCCTTTACCGCTTCCTCATCCACCGCCTACGTTTACCAACACTTTTTGATCCACCGCTCTGCATGTATACAAAATCGCCTTTGCTTGTCTGAAGCTCTGGAATCGGTCGACACAGTGGAACCGCTTCCTCATCCAGACGCCCTTCTGCCTATCCACGCCCTTCCGCCGATCTTCACGACCTTTGTTTTGCTGAAAAATGACTCGATACTTGACTGTTCTTCGATTTCGTGTATACTCGACTGTCTAAAATTGATCGGCGGTCGCATCCCTTCTCTGAAATCGAACGAAGACGCCCTGGTAAGTGGTAATTTATCGTTTTCCTGCTCTAATTTGCCATACTATATCCTCTATTCTACCCTAATTCGTCATTTGTGATTTTGCTGACAAAATAAAGCGATAAGGAGTCATCATCTCACTACATGAACGAGTTTGATTACGCTCAAGGGAGACGACAATGGCAAGGAGAAGATCTGGATCTTTCTTCATATTCTAGAAGACATGAATCACAACAACCAGTTCCCCTAAGTAAGAAAGTAACTTATTTACCCTTTTGTTCTAGGCATTTATTTCTTAACTAAATTCAGAGTGTTATTTCAATTTCAGGTATCAGGTGAAATCCCAATTTCCGCACCCCACTATCTATCTGTAAGAAGTACATCGGGTCCATTAGGCCCTGGTCACAAGCATGTCTGCTACATGATTCCAAGACAACCAGGTTAGGTTTGTTTCTTTCTTTTAAAATTATTATGAATGTAGTAATTATGCTAATGGCGAGAGTTTTTGGGATATCCTTTGAGAATGACTTTTAGGACTTTTGGCTTTTTCAAAAAGCTAAAAGTCAAAAAAGATGTTTGACAGTTTAAAAAGTTCTTTTAGATCAACTTTTTGGCAAGAACAAACAAGGGTTGTTTCAAAAGTCATGAATTAGTGACTTTTTGTGACTTTTGGGTTTTTAGCTTTTAGTTCTTCAAAAGATATACCAAACACTTTTTAAAACCTTCTTTTATAAAAAGCCAAAAGTCAAAAAGTCCTCTTTGTTAAAAAGAACTTTTTAGCCCAAAAAGCAATCCCAAACACTGTAACATACACATTAATAACCTTGTATAATTATCGTGTTTTGTAAGCTTGATAGCTTAAAAGTGAATATTATTAAATATTATATGATTTTAAGCGTTGAGTTCTAACAAGATAGTTTTATGAGATTTGAAGTAAAACTATGTTTAGAATCATTCGGAAGGTATTGGAAGTGATGGGAAGTCTTATGTGATTCCGATCAAAAAGTCAACTATCGAAATTAACGAAAATATAACATTTAAGTTGGAAATAGTAAAACTGATGTTATTGAAAGTTGTAAATTATCTCGTTAGAAACATTTAGGCAAAAACCTCATCAAAATCCGAGTTATAACGAAGAAGTTATGACTTATCAAAGTTTCGCGACAGAACCGTCACGACGCTATACAACGTAAAAAGTAAGTTTACAATAAAATGCTTTATAGCCTTAGTGATCTAAATGAAAATCGTAGTATATGTTAAACCGAGAGCGTGCATAAAAAGAACGTTCAAATCTGACTTCGTATGAGGAAGTTATGATTTTCTAAGCATTCGGCATAACAGTGTACAGCCCGAAATTCAGTTTATAGATCGAGCAATCTTTCGCCAACACAACCTAAACGAGAATTGAATATCTCGTCAATAGTAGTTCAACGGTAAAAAGACAGACGAAAACGGATGTCAGATGAAGAAGTTATGAATTTTTAATGGACTTTTCCTGTCCCGGCCTATTAGAAATATAACTTTAAAAATAAAGTCAAAATTATGTCACACCCCCAAACCGAAACGGCGGAAACGTTCGGGGGTGGATGACTCATCCAGATCGATCAGAGTCTGAGCCAGATCCTTGGCGCTTTCAAATGTGGTCGGCCTCGTAGCCAAGACATTTCCTTTGGTTGGTTGGGTCAGTCCCCAAATGTACCTCTCGATTTTCTTGCTTTCCGGGTGACCGTTCCCGGGCAGAGGAGAGCCAGATCGCAGAATGTAGCGGTGTAGGCAGCGATGTCGGAACCCTTCATCTTCAAATTCCAGAGTTCGTGCTCCAACTTTTGTACTTCGCCCCTCGGGCAATATGCCGCAAGAATGAGTTCCTTCAGTCTTTCCCAACCCATGGCATTAGCGTCTGGCAGGGTTAGGGTCTTAACTCGACCATTCCACCAGGTTAAAGCTCTGTCGGTGAAGGTGCAAGCGGCGAACTTCACCTTATTGGCTTCAGAACAGGCGCAAATTTCGAAGATGGATTCGATCTTCTCGAACCATCGAGTTAGAGCGATAACACCTCCATTTCCGTCGAAGGGCTTGGGTTTTGCGGTCATGAAGTCTTTATAGGTACACTCCTTTTGGTGTCCCTGTCCTCCATCATGACTTTGAGTATCAGGCCCACCTCCCTATCCACCGGAGCTGCCCTGATTAATCTGCGACATCGCCGCAGCCACAGCAGCCGTAACTGTCGCCTGAAACATAACTGGGTCGAACTGGGGAGGTGGCGGTGGCGTTAGATCCGATGGGGCATCGTTGTTCTTTCTGTTGGGTCTCTTTCTGGGAGGCATCTTGTTCTAAAATAGTCAAGAATAAGAGGATGATAAGTCCCCTAGGTTTGAATCAAGATATATGAAACAAGATATATCTCATCATGGGCGTTAAAGTGTTCTACGTAGCGATAATTAAGGAAAAGTTACTATTGAAACTAAACTATTGCAAGGATGAAATGTGTAGCAACACTTGAAATGAATCTTTACTCTGAATTCGGCTCTAGCTAAAATACTCCTATAGTATTTTAAGTTGTATGTTTCGTTCTATCGGTTACTTGATATGTATAGACTTGGTAAGTTTTAGGCTTGTTGCAACACCACAGTCACTCCCAAACACATGTTGGTCATGTCTTGAATAAATATAGTTGATCAGGCTATATTGATCCTAGACATGATTACATAACTGCCCAGATTTAACCGCAGTGCCCAACATCCAAATACTTTTGTTTTGTTCCGTTTATGACCCGAATTCGGTTATGTATGCATGCTCGTATACTTTTTATAAAAATATTTATATTTTTGAAAGTATACTTTTAGTATAGAGCACTTAGTCCCCTTAGTGCTTATAGTTGTATACCACGTAAGGTTTGGTATACTAGTTCGCTATAAACAAGGGCTCTGATATCAATTTGTCACGCCCCCAAACCGAAACGGCGGAAACGTTCGGGAGTGGATGACGTCATGTGTAGTATCACAACACTTGTATCGTAGCAATCATAGTAAACACAACCAAACGTTGAATACATGTATGAAAAAGAGTTTTACATCTGTTTGATTCTTGTTTTTATACATCAAAAGTATAAACAAAAGAAAGACGTGACTCTAACGCTCTGTCTTTGCAAAACTCTGAGCGAGGTACCTGTCTACTGATTCCCTGAGAATACAAGCAATTTTGAAAGAGTATCAGCATAAAGCTGGTGAGTTCATAAGCTATGTTTGTAGTGAAAACTTGTTGATGTATCTTATAAAATGTTCGTATGTTTCCAAGAAAATCCAATATTTTCTTTAGTAAAAGCATGATGTTACCAGTTCCTTTTATGAAAGTTTGATACGGTATCCTTGGTAGTATGAAAACATATCAGTTTGTATGCTTGGTTACTATCAATATGTATAGTATAATGAATTCTGTATGAAAACTTCTGTGTATGAAATGTTCAGCTTGAAAACCCTGGCTATCACCAGTATGTATAGTAGTTTTATTATTTAAAATAAAACCAGTTATTGTATTCCTGGATTCATCCAGTGTAATGTATAATAGTTCTATTAATGAAAATAAAACTAATGAAGAATGAAATCCCGTATACAAAAGTTAGTTTATACTTATTGTGAGTCGTATAACCATACTTGATATGACCTAGAGACCTTTATAACGTTCCCCAGGCGTTAAGCTAAATGACATTTGTTCACCCCAGGCGTGCCCGCCTAACTGTAGCTAGCAGTTCAGGTAAGGGATTGTCAGTCCCGAATAGATCTATTCACAAATCTCACGCTCTCTCTCCAGGAGACTCTGGTTATACTATGATAGGATTTAGTTCAGTACACTAAAGGGTACAGTTTTGAAGTAGAGTCTCACCATTTTGTATAATCTATTTCACGTGTATTTCTGTAGTGGTCTTACTATATTGAACTCTGTATGCATGATGTATATAATAATAATTATATTTAAATAATTATTATATGTTGTTCTCTTGTGGTAATGTATGTAATAAACTAAATCTGTCATAGTTTATATGTTTAGCAATGTATAACTCAGTGTATTGAAAACCCCAAACTATACCTATTATAGTTTGTATGTATATTGTATATCCGGTTCGTATGTTGTTCTGAAAACTATGCAATCATGATTGTATGTTGAAATGCCCCTTATGCTCGACGTAGTACAAAAGGGGATAAAATGTCTAAATATTCTATAATAATGTGAAAATTGTTTGACTGAATCGATTGCATAAGTTTTGTACTTGTTAAAAGTTCATTTGTATTGGTTTCACAAAATCATTTGTGTTTGGCTTGTATTCCCCCTGAAAACGTTTAAAATCATGAAAAAGCGTAGGGGGTATGAACTCACCGTTGATGTGTGAAAACGTTGGCTGGAAACGAAGATCCTCGAGTGGTTGCACTTGGCACTTAACGGAATCCTAATATCAATAATTACATATATGTATCTAAATTAGCGATTTCGTTATATAAAGTGTTAGAAAAACACTTGTTTTCGGTTAAGGAATGTTACCGGGACTTGATCGAATCGAGGAAAGTGGGTTTTCGGACAAATGCACCACTTAAAAGGTGTTTACGGTCGTGAGGTGAGTTTACGGCCGACCGACAGTTTACGGCCGTGAACAGGATTTACGGTCGTAAACTGAGTTTACGGCCTTTGAAGATCTGGTGAGTTTACGGTCGTAAACGGGTTTACGGTCATAAACAGGTTTACGGTCTACGAAGATTGACCGTAAACTCAAGAACAGTGACGCTGGTTTCGATGAAAACGTGCTTTAGATGCTCCTAAACAACCTCCAGGAGTGTTTCTTGATGATTTTTAGAGAGAAAAGAGGGTGTTCGGAGTTTACGGCCAGAGGTTCTAGAGAGAGAATGAGAGAGTTTCCGGCCAAAAGTGTTCAAATGAGGGTGGGGGTCTCATATTTATAGGGGATTTTGTGGTCGGTGGGTGGGGTCCACCCGACGCTGGCCGCAAACGAGTTTACGGTCGTAAACAGGTTTACAGCCGTGAACTCCAGTCAGGCCGTGAACATGTTGTTTCTCGAGAAAATTGAGTTTCGCGCGGTTTTGGTTTCCGACTCGCATATATAAATTTAATTATATAGAATCCGATGATATTCTAAAAGAAAAAGTTCGATGGAAAATTAATAAAAATCCAAATTTTATTAACGGAAATCGCGTAACAGAAACAGAAAAAGTTTCGGGTTGTCAAATCATCCCCGTTAGAGGGAATTTCGTCCCGAAATTCAGACACAGAATACAAAATCATGGACTCGGAAATAGATGTGGGTACTTCTGTTTTAGTGAATCCTCACGCTCCCAAGTGAATTCAGGTCCCCGCTTGGCATTCCAGCGAACCTTCACTATCGGGATGCGACTTTGTTTTGTTTGCTTGACCTCCCGATCCATGATTTCGACTGGT